AAAGTCTTTGGACTTTTCAATATTTGTCCATATTGATGGGCAAGAAATTATATGTTTGTAAGAGGAGGAATTATATGCATTGCTCCTCTTATATTGAGAAGCTCAAGAGGTCCTCTTTCCAAACATTTTTAATGTGGGATCAATATTATCCCACATCATTTACAAAGGGGAGCCACCTTTGTCTTCTTATTTTTTTTTTTTTAATTTTAATTTTATTTTGTATATAGTTTATTATTATTATTATTATTATTATTATTATTATTATTATTATTATTGTTATTGTTATTGTTATTGTTATTGTTATTGTTATTGTTATTGTTGTTGTTGTTGTTGTTGTTATTATTATTGTTATTGTTATTATTTTAATTTTTGTCTTCTTCTTATTTTTTTAATTTTATTTTATATATAGTTTTATTTGGACTATTATTATTATTATTATTATTATTATTATTATTATTATTATTATTATTATTATTGTTGTTGTTGTTGTTGTTGTTGTTGTTATTGTTAGTGTTATTATTTTAATTTTACTTTTATTTTATTATTATTAGATTATTACACAGAATTTTTATTATATTTGAACAACAATATTATCAATTAATAGAATTTATTTAATTTTCATTTGACATTTACTTACCAAATAAGCTCTACTACAAATAATAATATTCTTCTTCATATATATATATATATATATATATATATATATATATATATATATATATATATATATATATATATATATATATATATATATATGTATATATATATATATATATATATGTATTAGTAATTTTTTGTAGGATTTATTTTTCCGTTAATTAGTGAATTCCGTATCCTTTTTCTAGTCAGTGAATGAGGAATTCTTTTTTTTTTTTTTTGGTACTGCTAACTTTTTTACTGATTATTATTATTAATCATATTATTATTATTATTATTATTATTATTATTATTATTATTGTTATTATTAATTATTAATTTATTATTATTATTATTATTATTATTAAATTAATTTCAGATCCTTATTATTATTAATTAGTTATTTTTGGTAGGATTTTTCTTTTCATTAATCATTGAATTCTGTTTCTTTTTCCATTAATCAGTGAATTAGGCATACTTTTTTACTGATTATTATTAGTATTAATTAGTGTAATTCGTTTCCTTTTATATTTTGAGTTAATTATGAATCCTTTTTTATTTTCATTTTTTACACATTAGTATTTAGTATTGATCAATTTTCTTTTTCAATGTGAATTATTGGATTTTTTATCCATTTTTACTGCTAACTTTTTTACTGATTATTATTAGTATTAATTAGTGAATTTTGTTTCCTTTTCCATTTTCAGTGAATTAGATATCTTTTTTGTTTTTATTTTTCTATTTTTACTGCTAACTTTTATACTGATTATTATATAAAATATTATTAATTATATATAATATTTATATATAAATAATGGATGATATTACAGAAATGTCCCTATATTTTTGGGGAGAAATTTGGCTAGGGGGATTTTACTTTTAATTATAGGGAAAATGACACTTTTTATCCCTGAGTTATATACTTATAGCACTTTTCCCCCCTCAATTATTTAGGTAAGCACATTAGCCCCATCAATTATTCTAAAAGTGGTGTTTTTTCCCCCTAATATATTAAATTGACATTTATACCCTTAAAGTAAACATTTTATTTATTTTACTACTCCAACAAATTATTGTGTATACGTAGGGATGGCCACGGTTCGATTTGAATTGAACGGATACTAAAGCAATCGAATTAATAGTTTACGGTTATAATTCAGATCTAGAACCCAATATTTAAATGTCAATTTATTAAATTTATGTATCAAAAAAATTGAATCTTGAACCGTGATCTGGTTCGTGGTTTTGAACCGTCTTTATTTTAAAATTTTATTTTTTATTTTAAAATAGTCTAAATTCAACAATAAATGTATTTTATTTTTTCAGTTCGGAACATGAACCGTCCGTTCTGGTTCACGATTTTAATAAACTCTAAATATCGAGTTTCGATTCTAAATTGTAATTAGAATATTTCGGTTTGGTTGCTATAGTGTTTGTTTAGTTTGAACCAAATTATGGTCATAATTTGTTGGAGAAAAAAATAAATTAAATATTTAGTTTAAGGGTAAATATGTCCATTTAACATTTCAGGGGGAAAAACAGCCACTTCAATAATTTAAGGGAAAAAAATGCTATAGGTATATAACTCAGGGGGAAAAAGTGTCATTTTCCCTTAATTATATATATAGAATATAGATATAGATTAGTAATTTTTTGTAGGATTTATTTTTCCGTTTTTCTAATCAGTGAATTAGGAATTCTTTTTTTTTTTGTACTACTAAATTTTTTACTAATTATTATTAGCATTAATCATAATAATAATTGTTATTATTGTTATTAATTCTTAATTTTATTATTATTATTATTAAGTTAATTTCATATCCTTATTATTATTATTATTAATTAGTTATTTTTGGTAGAATTTTTCTTTTCATTAATTATTGAATTCTGTTTCCTTTTTCATTAATCAGTGAATTAGGCATATTTTTTTACTAATTATTATTAGTATTAATTAGTGTAATCTGTTTCCTTTTACATTTTGAGTTAATTATGGATCCTTTTTTATTTTCATTTTTTACACATTATTATTTAGTATTGATCAATTTTCTTTTTCAATGTGAATTAGGGATTTTTTTTTCATTTTTACTGGTTATTATTAGTATTAATTAGTGAATTTTGTTTCCTTATCCATTTTCAGTGAATTAGAGATCTTTTTTATTTTTATATAACAAATTTTCTATCTTTAATATTGCCAAATAGGTAATAAGTTATTAGTACTCAAATTACATTTGATATACTATTTTTATCATGCATTTTGAATAAGTTATTTTTTTCTTTGTTTTAGTTGTGATTTGATCTTGTAATTCACTGTGTACTTTTCTGTGTGGATTAAGCATCGATATCATTTGGACTTTTGGTTAATCAATAAGTTCACGTACCACAAAATGGTATGTAAGTCAAACTCATACTTAGAGTAAATTGCATTCATATTTTATTTGATTTCCAGATTGCAATTACTCCAATCTGGTACAATCTACATGTTAAACACTTCCATTGTAATTTGAACTATGGACTTAGAGGACTCAGTTTGTCCAGACTGAGGTACATCTTGTGGTCTTCATTGTTGTGGTCTTGGAAAAAAATAGTTTGTCCAACGTGAGATGCATCTTGTGGCCAACAAAGTTGTGGTCCTGTAGAAGGAAGTTTTTCTAGCCTAACTTAATAACTTTTTGCAGGTTTCATTCCTTATAGTCTGCTTTCCTTTATTTCACTTGGATAACCTTCAACCTTCTTTCATTGTTCAGAAACTGCATGCATATAGCTTGATTCCTGCAAAGAAAATATAATAAAACTAAGATATAATTAAATTACTATACGACATACTTTACACTAAATTATAAATATATCCCAAGTTTATGCATTCACATGTTCTGCAAAACAAAATCATATGGAATGTAATACAGTTCATATGTGAGGAACCTGATGTTAAGTCAACTCACAGGACAATGAAAAACCTTTTTTTTCCTAGAAAAATGGAGGAGGGGATTCAACTCCTTTTCCCCTTTACCTAACACTGGAGTTGAGTTTGGATTTGTACTTGTACAATCTTTTGACCACATTTCATTTTAGCTCCATTTCCCCTATGTTTTTTCTTTCCTTTCCTTTCCCTGCGTTTTCCCCTCTCATTGGGGGTACTGAAATTTTAACTGTTTTAACCTTGTAATGAAACTTCAAAATAGAAAATGGCACCACATCACACAAAATTACATTCTCAACAAAATATAAAATACCTTTGATATTGCATCTGTCTTAGTTTCTCAAGTTCAAGTTGAACATCTTTTAGGGCTATTGATGATTTAACCATTGGAACTCCTTTAGCAAACTTCAGATTTGTACTGAGAATCTCCATTAGTGAACAATAAGGAGAAATAGCATAGAAGAATAGAAAATAATGGATGGTAGAATTGTTTAGGATTATAAGAGTATTTATAGTGCAGATTATGTGGCTGGTTATGGAGCATTGTTATTTGCAGAAATAAAGATTATTTTGCAGATTATGTGGATGGTTATAGAGAAATCTCGATGTACAATTGCAATTGCACATTATGGCTGATTATGAATTTATTTATGGAGCAATTATAACGTAAAATAAGGTAAATTTATTAATAACTGATTCTATTGATTGATTATTGAGTATATATAAATCTGGACATAATACTTACGGTACTATAAATTAATTAGGTATGTGTAGTAATTCATTTGGTAAGTTATGATTCACATGTAAATTAATTTCTATAATTAATCGGATATGAATAATATATAATTACTATACTTATTAATTAAATAAATTTAGATATTACATAAATGACCCTAAGTTTTGGAGGGAAAATTTGGGAAGGAGGATTTTAGTTATATATATATATATATATATATATATATATATATATATATATATATATATATATATATATATATATATATATATATATATATATATAGATATAGATATAGATTACTAAGTTGATATATTACTTTGAGATTAATTAGGGTTTCAAAGACCAGGACTATGTGGTCTAATGGTATCCGGGTTGAACTTTTATTTGGAAGATTGTAAGTTCGAGCCTCAGTAGAGGCGTTATCAGCTCTTTGTGTTTCAGTAGGTTGAGAAAGTATATGAACAAATACTACAATGTAATAGAGCTAGTAGCATTCAAAAAAAAAAAAATTAGGGTTTCAAAGTTTGCGTGTGCATATATATAAGGCATATATTGTGTGCATATCCTAGTTTGAACACATGAGATGGTGGTTCTGATCTCTGTTACTAATAATATATTATATATTTGTCTGTGGCTATTGTTATAGTTGACTAGTCTATTCTATTGTAGGCTAGGAATCCTACCCTGTTTCTTCTCCACCATCGTACCATGTCGGCAAATTCCTCTGAACGTACCGTAACCACCACCACCCCTCCATCGCAAACCACCGGGAACTCCCTAAACGCAGCGCATCACTTCGTTTCCATAAAATTAAACAACCGAAATTTTTTATTTTGGCGCACTCAAATCATACCCTTCTTACGTGGTCAGGGACTCTTAGGCTACATTGATGGCAGCCACTTATGCCCTCCGACGACCCTTCCGGTGACGGCACAGCCAGGCAACTCCGGCACCACCGCAGCTGGCTCAATGGTCGCCAATCCGGCGCATGCGGCGTGGGTTCAGCAGGATCAATCGATCCTGTCTCTCCTGATCTCATCTCTATTCGACGAGGTCATGCCGTTAGCGGTTGGCCGGGAAATGTCACGCGATGTCTGGCTCTCCATCAACGAATCGCTGGCGTCCTCTACCCGGGCTAGGTGCCTCAATTTACTCGGTCAGTTCCAGACACTCCGTCAATGCAACATGTCGGCCTCGGAGTATCTTGGGAAGGCGAAGATGTTGGTCGAAGCTTTGTCCCTGGCAGGCCATCGACTCTCCCTTGACGAACAGGTTCTGTACGTATTGAGGGGGCTCCGCCCGGAATTCCGGGCAATGGCGAGTGCACTGACAGTGACCGGCACACCGATGACCTTATCACAGCTTGGTGATCTTCTGCAAGCTCAAGATTTCATCCAGGGGGATGAATTTGCGATGGACCAGTCCGTGAACACTGCTCCGGTTGCCATGTACGCTGGCCGTGGTGGCCAGTCCAGCGGAGGATCCGGACGTGGTGGGCGGCAGAACAGCAACAATCGCAGCCGTGGGCGAGGAGGCCGGCAGTCCGGCGGTCGTGGCCGTGGCAGCCCTCGCTGCCAAATCTGCAAGAGTCACGGCCACACTGCCATATTCTGCAACAAACGGTACACCGAGCCACCGTCGCATGCCCACATGACCGTCGTGGGAACACCATCGGCAGACACTGCCCGTCGGAAGCCTGGTTTCCCGACACCGGCGCCACCACTCACGCCCTCACGAAACATGTTAAGATCGATTATCACTTCGTTGGGGACAAGGTCGCATCCGGGGATTTCATTGTTAGTTTTGTCTCAACCAAGGATCAGCTGGCTGATATCTTCACTAAACCACTACCAGCTCGCGTTATTAGGCTCTACGATACAAGCTCAATGTTGTTGCCCTCCAACCTTGTGCTTGAGGGGGTGTGTTAGTAATAATATATTATATAGTTTATTTGTCTGTGGCTATTGTTATAGCTGACTAGTCTATTCTATTGTATAGGAGGTTTTAGTGGTAGCTTTCCTATAAGACTCTATTGTGTAATTTCTTTCCTGATTGAATGTGATTTGCGTTTGTTCATCACCCTATCTACAAATCTAACAAACAATTCTTCCAAAAGGCTTAACCCAACCCTAAGGCCCCCCCACACCCCGGCCCGACAGAGCATTTGGGAGGATGTAAATCATGGTGACTCAACTGAACATGAACCACAGAGGCTAGACCGGTGCTCACTGCGCACAAATAACTTTGCATTCCGTTAGAATAAATTTTAGTAACGGAATATTCCTTTAACTATTTTTTATTCTTAATTTACTCATTAATTTCTATAAGAAAAGTCTTAGGTTCGAACCTCATCCAATCAGAGTTGACATAATTGTTAAAAATATACTACGAATATGTTAAAAAAATACAATATAAAATTTAACATAAACTTTAATTTGGTCAAATAATTGGCCCAGACTAAATACATAACATTCAAAGTTGAGCATAAAAATTTATAAATCAGGAACCTTGAAAATCATTTTCTTGCATTTTTAAAAAAAAAAAACAAATTTAGCTTAAGTTTTTTGTTCTTTTTGTTTTTTTTTTTCATTTAATTAATCTTCTTTTGATTATTTAGAACAAGACACAATATTTCAATTATGCTTTTGCATTATTGAATTGATTTAGGTCATTATGGTATTAATATTTTTTGGATGTATTTCTATAATGATACAATTGTACATTACTTTACAAATATTGTACTATTATTTTTTTTATCGGACAAAATTGTTCTTACATCATTGTTAGACCTGCGCGACCTAACTACAAAGTTGTTGATCAGAAATACAATTACAAATGGACTCTAAAACATTATGACCATTTTCTAAAGAATTGACAATGTTGACAATCCACTGACTCCAATTGAACAAGTTTACACATTATTCTCAGAATTTTATCAATGCATGACAACTTCTGAAAAATTTGCAAGTTAATTTTTATTATATCATTATAACAATATCTATTGTAACCATATATTTCGAATTATTTATTATCATCCTCTATTGACAGCAATTGCAGCAATTGTCATTGACAAACTCCCAAAATAATTTGTCTAAACAACGAATGGAAATTAAAAAAGAAAAAAAAAAAAAAAAAAAAAAAAAAAAAGACTTCATTGTTGTGGATGAAAAGTAAGTACCACATTTTATTACTCTTATTAAATTAAAATAAATTAGTAGCTACAACAAAAAAATAATAAATATGCATTTAATTAAATTAGATGTCTATAATGCCTTTATTCAAAAAAAAATTATTCATTATTAAAAAAAAAAATGATATAATTTCATTAGTTATATTATCTTTATTTTCTACAATTCAAAGATTCATTACCTTCAAATTCATTAATTAATTATATTCACTACATTGTCCATTGTCTTCTTTGTACACTATCTTGTAATTAAATATCAAAGTTATAATACAAAATATGTTATATATTTATTTACCAAGTATTTTATACAAATATAATAAATATATATTAATATTTTGTTCAATACTTTCATATGATAATCTACGGCACATGCATGCACATCTCAAAAGACATGTGTAGGGGAAAAAACTACCACGGTCAAATATCAACAAGCGCTTGCAAGATAAAGAGTTCATAGTACAACTAAGATCACAATCATATCATATAAAAAACAATACAAATCTAAAACTTCCTACACCATAATTTCATTGCATGACGATGCCCTCTATTCTACTACCAGTAACACTACCAATAAAAGAATAAGACAAGTAGAGTTAAGATGCAGACAATGACAATGCTACCCAAAAGAGAATTAAGAAGACTGAGAGAAATTTAAATCAAAAGTAGTATTTTTTTAGACTAGTGTAACATTTACAATCAATCTCTCATATATTGTCTTGCATTTATATGAATTACTGATTTAAATAAACAAATTCAACATTTAGTTACCTATGCATGAACATCTCTTGAAGTTTTATGCTAAAATTGATTTTTAAAATAAAACATTTAAGGACGTTTAATAAAAAACGTCATTGATTCTAAATCTTTATTGACAAAACATTTATATTTTGTCAGGAAATATTACAAAAAAATTTATTGTCTCTACCAAAATATATAATGACGTTATTTAATATAACGTCGCAAATTGTTATATTTAGCAATATTTTCATGTAGTGAATCTTGCATTGATACACTTTGAATTATGATGGATATATTGTAAATAGAGCAAACCGATCCGAGAAGACAGAGCAAGGAGGATTCAAGCGGACTCGGGGCCCCGTGCTTGACCCGAACCGCCTAGAGAAAATCTCGGCCCATAGCCTCGGCCAGTCAAACCAAGGGTCGGGTCTCGGGACCGGACACGGTCAAATGACGTTGCAAATGTTCCCGCCATATTAGGGGGTGGTTAGAGGGTTCCATGTGTATAATAGGCTTCGAAATTGTCTTGTTAAGAGTTAAGACACATTCTCTATCATTGTCCTAATCTACCCTTTGTAATAGCGTTACATTCTCTTTGTGATAGCTTGGAACTTACAAATTAATACAATATTTGGTCTCCTTGACCTTGACCTACAACACTTGTTTTGCCAATTTCATTGTCCTTTCACGTTATCCTTAATTTATCGGGTTTAATAATTCAAACCACCTGGGTTAATTAAATCCATCAAATTAATTACTTATTTAAAAATAATCATTGGACATATTATCATATTCGTGCACTACGCGTAAAAAACTAGTGTGTGTGTGTGTGTGAGATATATATATATATATATATATATATATATATATATATATATATATATATATATATATATATATAGAGGATTATTTTCAAATACAAACCCCTCTTAAAATACAAACTGCGTGCATGTAAGTATGTTCATGTGTGCACGATCTAATCCTTGATATTGTTGGTAGTGTGCATGTAAGTATGTTAATGTGTGCACGAGCTTTGATTGATGGTTGTGATTTTTTTCTCCTACACGCTGTGTGAATGTAAGTATGTTAATGTGTGCACTAGCTTTGGTGGATGGTTGTGATTTTTCCTCCTACGCGCTGCGTGCATGTAAGTATGTTAATGTGTACACGAGCTCAAGTTTGTATTTTAAGGGGGGTTTGTATTTGAATGCAACTATATATATATATATATATATATATATATATATATATATATATATATATATATATATATATATATATATATATATATATATATATATATATATATATATATATATATATATATATATATATAACCCACAATCCCAATAAACAAACAAAATGAAGACAATGAATAGATTTAAAAACAATACACAACGCTACAAGACGAATGAAGCCAGCGAAATACAAATGCACAAAAAAAAAAAAACAAAAAACAAAAAAAAAGCTGCACAATACTTATATATTAAAACAAACGAAAACACAAACCTAGAGAATCCATAAAACAGAGAATGAAGCAGGAATAAATAAAATAGTCTGTAATATTCGCTAAAACACAAACAAAGAATATGAAAAAGAGGCAGTATATAAAGATGAATAAAGAATAACTTTAATTACCAAATTTAATATCCCTAAAACTATGGCAAATCAGCCCAAAAAAAAAAACAAAAAAAAAAAAAAAAACAAAGAAATGAAACAAAAATGCAAAGACTAATGAGCCCCTAGATCAAGATGGCGTGAAAAAGGGAAAAAAACAAATCCAAAAATAAACCAAAAAACAAGAGTCATAGATCCAACCAAAATCAAAGGTCAGATTTCGATCACAGACCACATGTAGAAACATGACCTCATATGATCCTTTATATATATATATATATATATGAATCTGATTCTCGTATCGTTGTTGTGTGAGAAAGATTGATGGGACATTTTAGAATCAAAATCAATCCAACCCAAATAGAAAACATTAATTTCTGTGAATTATGAATGCATTTTTGTTGTCACACCATGAGCACATAATTTTATTGTCTTCACACCACAAGACTCCAACTCTTGCGCAGATAATCATTTTGAGGCCGAAGGAGTGATCTATGAAGTCTGGTCCTTTCATCAAATATTCAATTCATCAAAAGTCAAAACATCAAATATTAAATGTGCAATCATACAAAGGCCATGAAGTTGAATATAGGCAGATGATAATCGAATTGGAACTCTACTTACATACCAAATGACCAATTGTTGAATTGTAAAACAACGCTATTCAAAAATAAAAGTTCTATAAACAAAATACACCAGACCCAAATTATGTGCAGCAACCAGGAATAGATCCTGGGTCGGTATTTTGTGGCAGAATACAATTCTAGACCACTAGACCACTGGTGTTTGTTGTGTCGAAATCGAGTACGAAATTTCTTTATTAAGAGCGACCGCATTATTTGTGATGACATTCACAATTATTTTTATTTTCTATTTTTTTTTATTACAAAGGAAGGGGGATACCCATACAATCTATGCCTACACTGAGGCTCGAAACCTAGACCTCCCACATAGGGGAGCAATCCGATACCAGTGGACCACAAGCCACCGGTTTTTTTATTTTCTATTTAGCAAGCTGCGAATAAATACTTTGTTTTAGTTGGTTTGCTAAGAATTCGATTTAATTTTGGAATTTGTGGGTTATTTTTTTAAATACAATTAAGAATAGTCAAAAAATATTATCTCGTATATACTAATGTGGTATTAACTCTAAAAAGTATAATATTTAGGATAAGAAAGTTATTTATGAAGAAAATTGTAATACTTATGGAACACCGAACCCTTTGCATGGTTCTTGATCCATGAAAAAATCTCATACGAAATTTTGCCAAATTTGTATGCCAAATTTTGCCAAAAATCTCATGAAACACCCAACCCTTAAGCCCTGTTTGGTAGGGGCGGGAATAGGTTAGGCCCCTTGTAGGGACCTATTTTTGGGCCTAAATAAGGCCTAATTAAGGCTAACTCGTTTAGTAAAAAGACTAGGTTTGAACCAATTCTAAAGCCTATTAAACTAAACCAATCGT